CCCGGGCCGCCAATCACGAACGGTGGAACACCCCGACACGCCCACGCGACGTACCTTGATGAGCATGGGGTCCAGGTTCGACTTGCAGGAATTCATGTACCTCTTGAGGTCCTGGTCTACCCACTCGAAGATGAGCCACAGCTTCGCATCGCTGTGCACACAGTTCTGAGGGCGTACGGCGGGAGGAGGGGAGGCGTACTGTTAATTTGCGGTTAGACCATTGACAACGCGCCCGCGAGAGGACGGAGCATTGTTCCCACAAGACCGATCACCGATGGCCAATCGTTCCTTCCTACTTTGCCAAAGGTGGCTCAAAAACGTCTTCCCTAGATTACCTATCCTATCGATGTCACTTCCCGCCCTTTCAACCCACTTCCTTGCTCCAGTACATCTACCGTCTTCCTGGGTAATCCATGCCTAACCTTTCCCTGTATCTTCCTGCTACTTTTCCCAGATCAGTCATGTACACTTTTCTCTACTTATTGTACAACCGACATCCCGCAACTTACAGGGAGGAGGGGGGGTGGTACACACGGGGTGGGAATAATTAACGGACCAGCTGTACGGCACCAAGTGTACGTAGTCTGCAGCTGTGCTGTTGTAATAATGGGAGAAATCGCACGCCGTAGACTGGTCTTTGAAGGTCGATCGCGCTCATTTAACTCAACTTAAAAGGTACCAGAGCACCGAATCGATTCCTCCAACGAAATTTCCAGACGACGAAATTTCGAAAACGCCAATCTTCGCATGGAGACCCTACTACTCGCTGTGAAGAAATCGAGACTTGAAGAAGGAACAGTCTGAAACGGGGAAGCGATGTCTCCGACAGTTGCGAAAAACATCTTTTTGGGATTGGTTGAGGGCTGGTCGCGCGTGCGTAGACGGCAGCGAAGAAACAACTGCGCGCAGAAAACGCGTTGGACAAGCAGCTCTAATTCGATGCAGCCGGCGTATCAGACGACATGTGCTACACCCCCCGCGCTCGGCCTAGTCGGTGGGCGACCCGTTCGACATGGCTTCGTCCCTACCTCCATACCCGAGCACGACAGCAGGTGTGTCCGACAGGGGTGTTGGTTTCGGGGCAACCACGGTCTGATACCACTGGGCAGTAGTCCATACCGGCACACGCCGGGAACTGTTGCTGTTCGACCACAGCGACGCATGCCGAACTACACACACACCGAAGTTTGCATAAGACAATTTACCACTACACACCCTTGCCCGATTTTCAAAGCTGGAATTCTCTGCAAACAAAAACAGCAGCGGTACAAGGCAGCAAACAGTGACGGTGCCGAGAAGATTCGGCGATGGAACTGTCTCGTCGAGAGCTTTCCAAAATGCATTATGTGATTGTGGCATGCTCGTTGTCGAGGAACAGGCGGGCTCTGAACATGGGTGTATCCTTACTTTCAACCTACGGTAGGTTACCGCACATCTTGGGAGCGACGTATAACAGCGGCAAAAAAAAAAGTTGCAGTTACACCGCAACGTGGTGCGAAGCGTTTCGCAGACGTAACAAGTACCCCCGGTTTTTAGCAGCATGTTTCGAAGTGAAATCTAGCAGAAAAAAATTGCACATATGGTATACATCTGTAAGTGACAAAACGAATATTGCCGTAGGTGACATAAGATGTCACAGCCTCTGAACCGATTCTCACACTTGATTTCTCGACAGCAGAAAGAGTGGCAGCACACAACACGTGAGCGTTTCATTCATGCATTCTCTTCGTCACGGAGAATCATTTCAATTTTTCATTTCTTCATGTCACACAACAAACCCATCTCTATCCATACAAAAGGGTTCATAGTAGGATAAATAGGTAATGCACTCTTTGTTAGCGTCATGGGATGCTACCTGTGTTTCTACGACTCCCCAACCAGTACGCGGCGATGTCTCCCTTGGGGTAGCAGACTCACCAAGATGCCGTACGTTGCGTAAGACATCACGCCCCCTGCATCGATTTTCAAACTTGATTACTCCACGACCAAGGGGATGCCGAAGGCCAACAATACATATTCGGAAAGCTCTGGACGGGACGGTTCCAACTGCGCCATTTTCGACACTGTCACTTCAGTATTTCCTTGCTGAGTACAGTAGTGGTTTAGCTTTGACAATCGGACCAGGGGGTATGATATCCTTCGCAACCTGCGGTGAGTTGTTGGTCACCGTTGTGCATCGTCACATGTGTTATGCCGGGAGGGGGTAGATGAACACGTGGTGGTGATGGTAGGTTTTGGGTGTGTTGGTTGCTGCACTCTTCGTACAAAGGATCACGGAGCCTATGCGTGTACATACATGCTTGCAGTTTGTCAGGGGGTGTGGTATCTTGTGTCATCTACGGAAACACTGTACATGTGAGGGAGGGGCACGAAGCCTCGGGAGTGTAAGTACTGCCGAAGCCTACAGGATAATATCGTGTGGGGGGACTCGTCGCATCCATCGTTGTGTATCCACACACCACACACTGCTGTGGTGGAAGCTGTCTACTGCTGCACAGCAGCACATATTATTTCCCGCTGCTCCGTGTATCTTCGAAAATCCTAACAGCGCCGGTCGGCTACATGGAGATAACACCGTCCCCTGCCTCTTCTGATGTATCTAAACGTAGGCTTTGTGTTCACCAACATTGTGTGTTTTCCTGCCTAGTGCTTGCGAGAGGCCGGTTTACCTTGAGCTCGACGATGTTTGGGTGGACGAGCTCCTTGAGAAGAGAGATCTCGCGCAGGGCCGTTCCGGGGATGCCGTCATCCTCCAGCTCCACCTTGATTTTCTGTTTCGGGAGAAAGGAGCAAGCACAGCGGACAAGCACCCAACACCAATATGATGAACAAAACCAAACCGTTTTGAGCTAACCTTGCAACGTTAGGGGAGGATGGGCTTCCCTATGCCAATAAAAGGCCGCAGGCACTGACGATGAGAGTATACATTTCAAAATAGGTGGGGTATCCAGGTTGGGGCGGGAAAACAGCGGTGGCGCAAAATGCCACCGACCGGTTCTCTCCCAGCGAGCACAAGAGCAGCGCCATAAGAGCTGCGCGAGAGGGGAAAGACCATAAGAGGAACAACAACATTCGGAGAGGAGAGGCTCGCTCTGCATGCAGGCTTCGCAGTCGCGCTGAGATCGTACCTCTCGCGGTGCTGTGTGTGTGTGCAGTGTGAGGGGCCGAGAGGAATGACGGGGACCTTGTACCTCCTCAGCCTTCGGGCAGCAAGCAAGTCCCGCCTTTCTTTTCTTTGGCTCACCTTGAGGGCAACAAACTCGTTAGTCTCGTTGTCCCAGGACTTGTACACCACGCCGTAGGTGCCCTGCCCGGCCTTCTCCTGCTTGGTGTACCGCTCCATCATGTTGGGAAGCGGCGGCTGCGAGAGACGCACCTACCCCTCTTCCTGCTGCTGTGTGGAAGAAGGCAACGGCTAGAGGGGACAGATGCATGCCTGATCCGGGGATGCGGGGTTGTTCAGTTCGGAGTCGGGCCGACTTCGACTGGTTGGAATTCGACGGTTTCACTTCAAAATTGTGCCGTTCTACCGACTACACTGCTGTATTAGACCCCTTTTGTGTGGCAATCAGTGGCGGTCAAATGTTTTTAACACAAGCAGCACGTCGGGTATTCACCTGAAACCTTAAACGAACGTCCACCAATCGGTTGACCACACGGAAAGTTCGTAACAATGTTGATTTTTGTGTGTCGCACATACCCACAGATCGTCAACAGAGGATTGTGACGCACTATAATAGTCTATTCGTTGACTTGCAGGCAGTGCATACGCAGTGCCCATGGTTTCTAGCAGCGGTGTAGCAACCATAGATACTATCCTCGACAACGCTCGTTGCGATCACATCCGAGTTCAACCGGCAGCTACTCCTGCGGGATCATGTCAGTTCGGAAGATCACGCACGCTCCTCAGGAAAGCATGGGACATCCTCAACAAGTGGGCCCTGGAAATACTTGTCCACAGGGGAACCGTGGACGTCCCAAACTTCATGCGGGTCGGATGGCAGCGTTTTTGCACCTTGGATGGGGATGTGAGTTGGGACTGAAGTACGGGAGGCTGAGGGATGAAGTACTGTGGAGGCTGGGGGGAGAGCAAGACTTCAAGCGACGCATACAAAAAATAGAAACATGCGCGCCACTGCTTGCTGAATACTTCATTCGACAAAACCGCAGAAATACCACACACTATCGTACGGCGGTAATTACGATAGACTAGACTAATCCCTCTACATTGAAATTTGATGGGTTCACAACGCAACCCGGAGCTTCATACCTCAAGCAGCTCTCGTTCGGTCCTGTAATTCATAATTAAAAACATGCAATGACAGCACTGTGGAACGAAGTACAGTGGTAGTCTACTCTAGTGTAGACCTTAGGGATCGGGCTGCTGTATCCCCCGATAACCGTGGTGGCTAGAGCGACAAGAGGGTGAAGGAATGCCGTATGCACGAGTGACGGGTGCGAGGGAAGTACAGTAAGTGATGGGACATGCAAGCCCCGAAGGGGGCACATCGGTTGCATGGCAGTAAATGCTAGCCGTGGCTGGATAGTCTGTACTGCCGCGGATAATCGGCGCCCAGTATTGTGGGCGTCATTAGATACTGCAGGACTTAGACTATTTCGACCACGACAAGAGAAAGACCGCTCCGTTGCTCTTCCGAAGCCCCTCTTCATTGCAATATCCCTGATGGCAATAGAAGCGAGCGCAATACGCGTGCCTCATTGTCCTTCCACAAAGCTAGGGGGCACAGTTAGTACTCTTCGACAGGATTGTATTAAAGCTGTTGCGAGAATTTTCGGCGTGTTGAAGGGACTGTGAGTTCAACGACTAACAGATACCAGGTCCTGAAGGCACCCATTAACATCGTGGAAATCAAGACACGTACCTGCACATTTGGTGGTGTACAGTTGGTCCGCTGACAGGCTTTCCTTGTCAGGGATATCTGTCGCTTGAGGACGGACGTCGATTCGTGTATGTTGTTCACTGGAAATCCATATATCTACATCTGTCGACGTGCTCTTGTCTTCCGCACCGGAGATCTGGGTATTGCTTCGATTGAGGGATCTCACTTTTGTGCATCCTTGCTACTGAAAGTTCTATACGCATCGCGTGAGCAGGCCTTTGTTGTGTCCTGTCAGACGCACTCCAGCGGGAAGTGTTGACGCCGTCATGTCCAAAGCAAAAAATCACGTCCGGACAACTATTATCTCGTGATTCGCCAACAGCGTTTGATACATAATACCAGCCAAGAGAGAACCCTCGTATGATCTGGTACACAGGTACAGAACGAAATATTTCCGACCTCAACAGACCAAGAACCGAAGAAGATTTCTGAAAGATTCCGGAACCGATGGTAAATCGGACAACAAAGTCAAAATCGAAGAAAAACCAAATAAGATTCGAAGAGCATACGCCTAAAACATGCCCGAAACCAACGTGTAAGCCACCCGCTTTGCTCAGATGCGACTACGGCCGGTTTTCATCCTCAACGAGGGATTCTGCCGCGCGCACGACCTCCCGCACAAGCGAATTTTTCGCCCCCCGCTGCTTAGAAAGGCGGCGGAAGCGGTAAACTACTCCAAGCTTGCCATCCGCTACACGACTTTCATGACCAAAGACATGGTATACGGCGCCCTGCGAGAAGTCTTTCGAGGGGTGAGCAACTCGCTGTGTCTTTGTTTCCCGATGCAATGATGTAGACACAGCTGGGACAACGATACGCCAAGGGTCATGACACCCAGCGAAGCAACAGTACAGTAGGAGAAAGGCTAAAGGTCTCCCATTTGCCCCCAAACCACGGGAAATTGAAAAAACTGATGGAAAATGAGTCGTAACCCCCGCCGTTGGATGTTTATGAATAACAGTAGGCATCCGGTCTGCATCCCTGGCAGGGACCTGTAGTATCCCCTTCTTCCCTAGGCACCACGAGCCCCCCTCGACTTGCTCATTGGCACTTCAACGGTCTAGAAGGCAATTTTCTCGCGCAAATGACAATAAACTGCTACCAAACCCGCGTCGATTCCATTTCAGATAGGGGATGCGATGTCATCGGGAGGTCAGGTAAGCGTAGTGTTTTCCTTCGGCACTCTCGAGGCCAAGGAAAGAAAGTTCCAGTTCACATTCGACTGCGCGACCCTCTGTCGGAACGGGAGCACCACCACGCGTACGGACACCTCGAGCAGCTGCGGTGGAGACCACGGGGAGCGGGAGGAGGGGGACGGGTTTTCTTCCGGCAGGTGAAGCAGCAGAGAGTAACAGTTTGGCAGTTTTCCGCATTGAATTCAAAGCGTTGGTGGACTATCGCAACGCTTGTGCGCACTTCCACAGGCGGCTCGTGAGCTGCACGGCCTCAATAGCCGCTGCAGAGAAGTATTTTATTTGTTGTTCACTTGAGGGAGTCGGGTAGAGATCCCTGCCAATACCATCGAGGTTTCTCCTGAGGCGAGGCTTGTCTCACCTAGGGCTTACATGTTATTATCGAAACATCACCCCTCAACCAGAGGCCACGTCAGTGCCCAGCTAGCGCGGTGCCCCGCACCACGCCTCGGGCGAGCCGTCTGTCTCTGTGCCGTCGAATCCAAGCCAAAATTTTCGTGGTTTCATCCACGCCGCACCCAACAAACACCCTCAAGCTCGATTTCCCTACGCCCCCATGGACACCCCCGCGCAGATCCAGATCATCCTCGGGGCTATCGCGGCGACCTCCTGCTGGGAGCGGGTTAGGAGCACGCCGCGGCAGCGACGACGGCCATCACCATCATGACGACGATCATCGCAGGAATGCCGAGCCCCCGCCTGGTACACCTTGCCCGGGTGTCTCGGAGCGGGATGGTTGGAATCAGACGCCAACCGACGATGATGGAAGAGGAGGCCGCCGCTGCCCTGGGGGGGGAGTGCTCGGCAAGGAGTTCGATGAGGAGGTTGAGAGGCAGAGAGCCCAGGAGGTTGCGGCGGAGAGGGGAAGGAAGCGCGGGTCCGGCAAGCGGTGCAGGACACGCGAAAAGGCGAGTCGGAGACCCACGCGTCTGGTGCATTCCGCGACGGCGGTGGAGAGAAAATCGTCTCCTACCTAGGGATTTCCCATGGTATTAGCTCAATTCCCTGGTACTGTTATGGAGGCCGCGTTCGAAGCACCACTAGAACATCTCGCAACTCGTTGATAATATCCTAGATGCCTGGTATCGCACGGTCTCGCGTTTCGCGTCCCCGTGACGGACTGCAGGTTTGGGAATCCGCTTTCCGAGACCATGTGACTGCACTGGAGGGTCTAGCCGAGGATGACATGGTGAGACACCCGGGTGGCATCAAAACAGGGGCTGGGGGGGAGGGGAGGGCACCCACGAGTGCGCGGTTGCGCTTCTCTCCAAAGAAAGAACAAACTGTAAATGCCTCACGAAACTAAACATGCGTGTCTTCCTTCTGTTTTCATAGTGTTTCCTCTCAAGTGGATCGTCTGCTGGGGCATCAATCCCAAATCGATCTCGCCGCCGTGGATTGACTGGATGAAACCATCGTGGCCCTTCGTGGCCCTTCATTCGTCAAGTCGTGCTCAATGACAATGTACGTAGCGCACAGAATCACTACCCTCTCGGTCGTACTGGACGATTGCAACTGTCGGAGAACTGCCACCGCAAGAGCTGTCCGGCTCACAATACGACGTCGATCTCCCGGAACACTGACCAGGAAAATATTGGGATCATGAGCAGTCGCATACCGACGCCTTGCCGTGAAAATACTGTCATGCGTGAACACCGCAACCACCAGAACCTTGCCAACAGGACAAGACTCTTGCAGCTAGCGGAGGACAGGAGGAAGACGGAGGAGCGCGAGAACAAACAGCGCGAGATGCACGACTTGCTCACCTTCGTGCAGGGACAAATTCATGGTAATAAAGCGCAGGACCTCAAAGTTGTCGATCAGAGAGTCCGGGAGACGAGTCCTTCATCGCAGTTTCTTCTTTGTGGGGTCTCTCAACAAGAAATACATAGCGTATTCTGCGTTTTTCATTACGCGGAGGTGCAATTGAGTTGCAGAAATCCAACTTCCGAAGTCACAAAAGAGTACTATAATACGCAAGTTTGCTTCATACACGACGATTTGGCAAGTGGCGGTACTCCTTAGTTCTCCCTTAACAGGTACCTTGTCTAGAGTAAAATATTGTGGTACTATTTTTGGTTGCCCTGAGACGACGAGAATAAACCTCGTTTGTAAACCTCTCTTTGAATAGAGCTGACAGAATGTTGTTTTGTCCGTGAAGGTCACAGCAGCAACAACAACCGGACCAACGGTTATCAACAATAGCAGCAGAAAAACACCAACATCAATCGGAGTTAGGGAATACCTTCCAAACAAGGTCAATGTCGAAGCGCCCAGTGCTTGACACAGAAGTTTGTCTAATC